CAACAACCCTGTGAGGTGAGTTGGGCTGAGAGAGAGTGACTGGCCCAAAGTCACCCAGCCGTTTTTTTATGCCTAAGGCAGGACTAGAACTCACCATCTCCTGGTTTCTAGGCCAACAACTTGAAGTGTACATGCATAGGAGTTGCCTAACTAGCCACCAAAAAAACAAACCAGATCAATATCTTGAATTCATCTCAGGGGAAGAAGCTATCCTATTCTTCATTTCTGAAATTTATTCTGCACTATGTTCTGTAACTTAATTTAGTTAGTTACCTGCAAAGTTCAAGTGATTTCCATAGCTATTCAATACATTCTGAATTTTTTTTCCCATTGCAGAATCTGGCAGAATATTTGTTCTTACAATAAGGGAAATGGTTACATATGGCTTTGTAGAAAGCAGGGAAGGAAGACATTGGCTAAGTTTTAGTTGGCTAAATGGGGATAGTAGGTTTGCTTTTAAGTTATTTATTTTTTTATTTATTTAATGTTAAGCCGGGCACAGATTCTTACCCCAAAATGTTAATACGGTAAGGGCTTCTGTGCAGCCCCATTTTGGAAGCTTGATAAAAGGGAAAAAGAATCTGAACCGAGTTCTTTGGATGCTAAGACCAAAAGAGGAGAAAAGATTAAAATATCTACCAATATTGGTAGAGTATTAACATATAGACCTTACCCTAACCATAATATGTTACTCTTCTTATTAAATAAATGTTTTACTCCTGTTATTCTCAGCCACTCAACATTGCGTACAGCCACATTTATAGCTCCTACCGAAACTTTGTGGGACCTCCCCACTTCAAGACAATCTGCCGACTCCTTGGATACCAAGGGATTGCTGTTGTGATGGAAGAATTGCTGAAGATTGTCAAAAGCTTGGTAATGGGGATAAATAAACCCACTAGTTGCAGTCCTCCTCTTCCTTCTCCTTTTCTTCCTCCTCCCTAAAGCTCCTGATAGTTTCCCAAAATCTGCTCCAGAAATTTGAGGGACTTTCTGGACAAGATTTGAGAGGGATGCAAGTAGGCTGCTGAGGAAGAGAGGAAGGAAAACTCATGTTGTGTGAATAGAAGTTGATTCAGGCCTCATCGGATATAGCCCCAAGATTGCAGGGCATATTTTAATCAATTTTCCAGATGTGGCTTTCTGCATGGGATTTGAGGAAGCCTTTTACAGCTGCCAGTAATTCTGCTACAAATCTGTAATTATTCTGGCAGAAGTGGAGCTCCCATGATGAAGTAAACCTGTGTTCAGAAACCCATATACCAAAAGTATCAGGTCAGTGTACATAATTTCTCTGTCACTAAGATGTATGGACTTCTTAGTAGCGAAAGGAAAAAAGCAAAAGTACTTTTTGCATTGAAATACAAAAAAGTCTGCTTGGGGCTTTTAGTAGGGTTCGTATAAACTTTTAAAACCGTGTTCTGATTATTATTTATTTCCCTAGACAGAAGTCATCAGTCCCACCCCATCCCCTGGCAGGCATTCATTTTTTAAAAAACAGATTTTGGGTTGTAAACATTTGTGATAGGGATGGGGATTCCTTTTCAAAGAAAAAGACTTTTAAACAGCCATTTGGATCTATCTAAATATTTGAGTCCACTTAAAAGTAATTTCTGTTTTGGTTCTTAATATAAATACTCTCAAGACAGTTCACAACAACAATGAAGTACTTGTTTGGATCCCAACTCAGAAAGACAACGGGAGGCTTCCAGAGACCCAGAAATTTGCACACCCAATTGTCAATTTCAATCATCTGTTTTAATTTGGCAAATGATTCCCTTTGGGTTTTGGAACTTCCAACGCCTCAGCTTCTTCCTCCAGACTGTTGAACTCAGAAGCATTGCTACGTCTGTTTACTTTTGTTTAATAAGTCATTACACTTGAGGCTTCCTTCTCCTCTAAACTGAGAAAGGATCAAGATTACTGGTGACTGCATACATTGGCTGAAGGGAGCCAAAATTTGCAGTTCCAGGCCATTTTGTAGAAATGAAGAAGCTTTAAATGTTGAGTCTACTTTCCAGAGCTCACATTCATCTCCCATTGCTTCTCATAGTTGCAAGGAACCATCCTTCAGTATGTGAAGACCTTGATAGAAGTGATGCCGAAGATTTGCCGCCTGCCAAGACATGAGTATGGATCTCCAGGTCGGTACTTGGTTTGCACGATGAGATTATTTTAAATTGATTCTTCATAATCAGAACCTTTACTCATCACATTTGTGTGTTCTTGTCCTTTCTCTAAAATCGCCAGAATGACTTATTTTGAATTATACTGTTTTAAGGTTTTCATTGCAGTACCCACTCCATTTTATCCACACACGTAGCAATTTTCTTTGGTCTCAATTTGTGCTATAGACATGTAGAAATATACTCTAAAAATTAATATTTTAGAGGTTCAATCTAGCAACTAACAGAGTTGTAGAAACAACCTAGTTACTGTGTAAGAATTACTGTAAATCGTAGAGTTGAGCCCAGTGCAGAATCCAAATTAAGGCACTCCAGACACACCCAATAATTTATCTGGGCTGTTGGTTCCACTGACAAACTTCCTGTTAGGAATTTTCTTCTAACATTAAATCAGATTCAGTTTTTGTGTAAATTAAACTACTATTCTTCCTGCACTCCAAAATTGAAGAGAACGTTTTTAAGCTTCCATGATATGACATCCTTTCAAGTATTTAAAGAGTGCTATAATAGTCCACCCACTCCAATCTTTTCTCAAGGCTAAATGTTCACACTCCTACAGTCTCTTCTCATAGGACTTAGTTTCCAGTCCCCTGATCGTTCTCTTTGCCCTACTGTAAACCCATTCTAGTTGCTCTGAATCCTTAAAATATGATACTCAGAATGGGATACAATATTTAAAATGGAATCTAATCAAAGCAGAAGAAAGTGAAACAGTTACTTCCCATGACTTGGAAAATATTTTTCTTTTGATGCAGCCTACAAATTGTCTTTGCCTTTTTTGCAGCCATATCACACTGTTTGCAATCAGCTGCTATTATAAGATCTTTTTAACAAGTACTATTACCAAGCTAAGAATCCCCATCCTGTACCTGTGCATCTGATTTCACATCTAAGTGAAGAGTTTTATACTTGTCTCTGTTAAATTTATTTCTGTTTCAGCCCATTTTCAAGCTTTCCCAGATTGTTTTCAGTTTTATTACCCATTAATAAAAAATTTGAAGAATTGAAGACCCAGGACTGAACCTTGTGGCACCTATTTAATATTTCTCTCCAGTTTGATGAGCAGCCACTGATGAATGCTTTTTAATATCATTAGGGTAATCACTAGTTGAAAGGGTTTTTTTTTTTCCCTTGCTCACTTCTAGGCTCTTAGGTTAACCAAGGACAAACTCTTGACAAAGAATTTGTTAGGAATTCCGTCTTAAAATCCCTTGCCGTACTCCAGTGTTAACTCTCTCTGTTGTCTTGCTCAGTGAACTGTGTCATTGTCCAGCCCAGGGATATGGGAATAATTACATAATTATTAAAATAGTTAAATAATGCTATAGTACAATACAGCACAGTGTGCCACAGTATGTGTAGGTATTTGGGGCCCTCTTTGAGGCATTGGAGAGAATTCCTGCATTGGCCGGCAGTCACTACTAGGAGGCAAATCATTGGGGAGAAGAGTAGAGTAGAGTAGTTTGCCCAATGTAGAAACCAAGGCTGCTTGATAGAAAATAAGGACTGAGTATTAGATTGCCATTTGGGATTACAGAGTTTCTAAGGCATCTGTCAGTGCCAAATTATTCATCATTGTTTATGCCATTCTTTCTTATCATAGCTTGTGCTAACCTCACCTTTGTTTGGCCTTGTATATCATGTTTATATTATAGTAAGAATTTTCCCTCTCTGAAGAGGTACAGTTTCAGCTGGCTATAAGGACTCAGTATTTAGTTCAAGTGGCAATAATCTGAGAGAGCAAAGGACAGCATGTACTAGCGAAGGATTTGACACTTGCCCTGATGTACAAATACCGAAGCTTGAATACCCATTTTCAGCCAAAGAGATGTCTGAGAGCTTTGGTTTCTTAATGAGGTTAAGGCCCGCAAGATGGCTGTGCTAAAAACTAGTTGAAGATCTCTGTCCCAGAGTTGTACCACCAGTCATCTGAGAGTTGACTTTGAGGAAAAACTGAAATAAAGCAACAGTGGAGAGATTGAGTAAACAGCCAGAGATAGGTTACTTGAAAGAGAAAAGAAGTGTCAAGGCTGAAAAAGCAATCCTAAAAGACAAGCATCTGAACACTCTGGGTCAGTGTTTTTCCAACTTGGCAACTTTAAGACGTGTGGACTTCAACTCCCAGAATTTCCCAGCCAGCATGCTGGCTGGG